TGTAAAAAAAATTTGCAATTGTGTAAGGAGGTTGATTTTTCCCCTAATGATCATTYATTGTTAGGTCCTTCCATAGGTACATTTTATATGTAGTTTTTTTTTAAGAGCTGTATTATAAGTCTGGGGGAAAAATATTGGTACTCTGTTTAGATAAACATCTCCTAGCATGGACAGAGATTTTTGTCTTTTTCATCCTCTCTGCTCATGACTAACAAAGGTAAGAACCACTAATAAATGTTTAACAGAACAGTTGACTGGACTATGTCTTGAAAATGACTCTCTGCCATGCTAATAGCTTCCTCTCAGCCACAGTGGTAAAAACGACTWGTAGAAGAAGCTTAGGGAGCTTTTTAAAGCTCCAGACAGAATCAGACGAAAATACTCACTTTTGTTTATTGAGAACAAAAAGGGGGGRAAATCTTTTGGAAACCCTTTTGAAATGGGTTGTTTCTGAGTAAAARGGACTAGTTTCAGAAGGAAAATGCAGTAATGGCCACAGTAGTAAACCCTAACAACTCCTGAAACACAATTTAGTGCAGTTACACTACGTGGCATTTGGCTAGCACCAGAAGCACAAAGAGCATTACCAAATRCTTTTCATTCTTGTCAGATGATAATGGTGAACCATTTTCACAGGAGACACTTTGACATGGCACAGTAGGAAAGAGCCCAGGTGTTAGGGTGGTTTAATTCTGCTCGGTGCAGATCCTGGCATTAGGGGTGCTTTTTCACTGTCAAAGCTGACTGGGATTATTAACTGAACTGAATCRCTAATGGTATTAATTCTACCAGAATTTTACACGCTGTGGCGTATCAAAATGATTTTTTTTGACTGTGGCAATACATTTAAATCATTGTGTAAAATATAAAACTTCACACAATGAAACAATGCTTCATGAGCTGCTGGGTTTGTTTGGTTGTTTGTAACGACAGCAAAATGTGTCACGACTCACTGAACAGACTGATGAAAAAGTAATCTTTGCATTGGCATCTGCTGATTAACTTTTGAAGTCATCTTGATTTTAGATGACCACCACACCAAAGGGATTTTAGCAAACATTAAAGTGATTAAAACTCAGTGTTTTTCAAATATTGAGTTATTTGACGTAACAGTAACTGAGACCAATTTCCAACTTATACACTGAGCACTGACTGATTAGGTTACATTTAAATTTAAAACCTAACCATTAACCACTGACTCTGTCTCTTGGTATAATATCTCATGAGTCTCTAGGGCCACCATAACGCTCCTCAATAAAAATTTATTTGATACCCCTGCTCTAGACACATCCAACTTCAGGAATCACAGAAACATTTAGTTGAAATGTTGGCTGGAGAGTCGAAGTCTTCAACAGACTTAGCTAGAGGAATAGGTAAAATGGTGTTTTTACCAATGCCTTATAGCTTAGCTTGCTGCACCTATCGTGTGTGTCTGTGARTATTTTATCACTYGAGTCACCGCTTCTTTATCATTTAAAGAAACTTAATGTTTATGTTTAGAATTTCTGTCAGTATTATATTATCGTAAGGGTGACTGACAGTACTAAATAATTTCTTATAATATCTTRTAATAATATCTTTCTAGATCACTATATTAGGCTAGCATGATGAATGCTAGCAGTGGACTACAGTAAAAACAATAAGGTTTACTGTACTTGTTTTCGGTCATCCGGGAGGGACTCAGAGTGGAGCCGCTGCTCCTCCACGTCGAGAGGAGCCAGTTGAGGTGGCTCGGGCATCTGGTAAGGATGCCTCCTGGACGCCTCCCTGGTGAGGTGTTCTGGGCACGTCACACTGGGAGGAGGCCCAGAGGAAGACCCAGGACACGCTGGAGGGACTATGTCTCTCGGCTGGCCTGGGAACACCTTGGAGTTCCCCCGGAGGAGCTGGAAGAAGTGGCTGGGGAAAGGGAGGTCTGGGCCTCCCTTCTGAAGCTGCTGCCCCCGCAACCCGACCCCAGATAGGCGGAAGAAAATGGATGGATGGATGGATGTACTTGTTTATCGACAGAAAGTGCCGGGCTAGGATCTGGGTGGTCCAGTGTTGTGGTTTTTTTTACCTCCCATAAAATTTTTGGAGCAGACGTTAAGTCCTTGGCTGCAGTTTTTTTCTGGGCAAATGCTGCTTGTCCCATTGCTGGAATCGAGCAGTTAACCTAGTATCTTAGCTTGGGAAAAGTGATCAAAAATATTCCTTCCATACAGGCACGATGGTTGTATCCTGAGTCACTGTTCTAAGAACCACAGTTTAAACACAGCTTGACTGGCACAGCACCATTGAAACCAATGGAGCTGCTACGRGAGTTTGTACRTGCATCAGAGTCAAGCGGACATAGTCACGTGACTCGTGTTCTAAAAATAGCTTGAGTTAAGGTCCCTGTTMAAGATGGCCACCAAAGCCAACCTACATTTAGAAAACATGAAAAATATGTATATTCAGTCAGTTTTATTCTTCTAAAATTTGGCATTTATAACACATACTCCAAGTGCTAAACATTGCACACAGTTTAACCCATGGAGTCAACTCTGTGTGACTTAGCAAAATATCTCCTGAACCGTAGGGTGGAGTTTAATAAAACTTTCAGAAAGCAATAAAAAACTATATATCCTCATCAAATCCTTAATATTAAACCAATTGAAGAGCATCACCAACAAAGAAAACTATAATTCAGTCAGTTTAGCAGAAACTGAGTTTAAGTTTGGTATTATTTAGCATATTTTACAGTTTTGACCAAAATGCTACAACTCCATCATTTCTCAACATAAGATAATCTGGCATGAAAAAACTATTTCAGGAAGGCTAAGCCTTTAATCTAATGTATGAGTTTAATGTAAAAAAAGTGTGAATATTCGGCTGTTCTGTTGATAAACATTTATCCCCAGTGTGCCTATTCAAAGAAAGGGAAGTTGTCAGAGCTATTAGCTGATAACTACAGTCGCCGTGAAATTTGCATTTATGGAGGTTTGCTCCAGCACCTCATCCCTCTGTGTAATGGTGCCCCGGAGCACAGTTCCCTTAATAGAATGAGTCTCCYTCCATCACAATAAATCAACATTTGACCTCCGTCTGATAACACCCCGGTGTCATGGCAACCCCTGACCTGCTGCTTGCCATAGCAGCTGGGCAAAGCACCCCGCTCAGTCACCTGGAGCGGGAAGTTATAATTCAGCTGTGTCCATTTCTTGTAGTTCTCAAAAAACAACAACAACAACAAAAAAGCAAACAACAATGAAATATGCTTAGTTGAGTTTAGCCTTTGGTTTGGTTTGGTCTACACCATACAAAGTTTATGTATAAAGCCTTTTAAGCAACCTCAAGACCAAAGTGGCAATAAACCGAAAATTAACCGACACCGACATTTATGACAATGACAGATGTATTTTTGTCCATGTCAGTATTTCTGGTATTTAAAAAAATGAGGAAAAGAGAAACCTGCTTGTTTTCTGTTGCGGTCTGGTTAAAGCCGCYCAGTCTGATACAGATTTGAACAGATGCTGCTTTCAACAAATCAAACAAACCMCCACAGCTTTATCCAATCCGAGCAGAGCAGGGCGGGTCTTTMTGATGYCCCGAGCTACACGAGACGTTGGTATTTAAAATCTAACACACTATAAGTTTATGTGTTCAGAGCTTCGTTATCGAACAGACATCCAACTTCGCTCGCGTGACCAAACTCCTCTCCTGATAAAGACAGCGCTGTTACAGGAGCGAGCTGCGCACAGGCTGAGTTGTTTCAGTTCTCCCAATGAAACAATAATAACTCAGATGAACATTTGTTTGTGCCATATTGTAGAAAATATGAGTCTCTGCTTAGCGTTACCCCCCAAACGCTATGTTCTGTTTGTAGTTTGTCATAAATATCTACAAATTTCATTCTTCACAATACATCTTGCTTATATTTAGAACCATACCGTGACTGAACTGCTCTGTGATTCAATAAATGATATTTTATATGAAGAATACATTGTTTTAAATCGTTCCACATCTGTTCTAATTTCTACACAAACAGAAGTTGCCTTGAAATCATCCTATTTATAACACAAAATATACAAAATGCAGTGAGGTTTCTTATTCCTCAGAATCCAGAGAGGTGTAAACTAGTTTACTTGCAGTTCCTAGAGTCTTTCCTACTCACTTGTCTCCTTTGCTGCGAGCGATGCCAATGAGTTTTTCGATGCCGCCGGCGTCACGTAGAGCTTTTGCGTTCTCCATGTTCTTGGTGATGACTTCGTGCAGCGCGCAGCAGATGGCAGTTACTGTGTCGTCGGACATGGCCTTGCTGGGAGTTCCTGTGGTACCAGAGGTCCCGATGCTGGTGGTGTTGTTGTTGCTGCTGCTACTGCTGCCTGGTAACCGGTGGATCAAATCTCTCATGGCATATTTACCTAGTTTTGAAAAAAAGAACAAAACATACCTGTTAAAATTCTGCATATCCCTGCAGAAACAAAAAGTTTTTGATCAGTCAGGTAGGCATCGATGATAAGTAGAGCAAAAAAAAAAAATGGGGTAAGCTCTAAAAATATTTGATATTTTTCATAAAGATTTGCTTTCAGAGGATAAACTGGCATCAATAAAAAGCAATTTCCTTTGATATTTTTATCAAGCAGGCTGACATATAGGAAACAAAAAAAAAGATCACATCACATGGGTGACAGGAAAGACAAGAAACASAGAGTGGGAGTAATTAAAAAGTACAGGAGATAATGTCACATAAAAAAACACATGAATCYCTCTGGTCAGAGGGTAGAAAAGATGGAGGCAATGATATTTAAAAAATGAGAGGGTCAGAGTGGCTTAGTGTGTATTTCAGAAAGGAAATGCCAAAAGGAAGAAGAACTAGCTATGAATTTCTAAAGCCAGGCCCACAGTAAGGTATTCAGAGGCATGCTCCTGTTAAATTAAACATACCTAAATAAAGGCTGAGCTATTTTTTTTTGTTGAAGGGATGCATTTGCCTCCCCTGCTGTTAGCGTATTAAAGAAGGATGTTGTAGCCATTTAGTCGAACCTTATAAATKATATTGTTACAACTAAGAGGACATGTTAGGGATGAGGCTTGTACAGTGACCCAAATTTTAGCTTAATATCTATTAGAGTTATATTTTGTGTTTGCAATCATCACTCCATTTCCTAAAATTATTGAAAATTTTTGGGTTCGGGTTTGAGTCGTCTGCCATGAGATTTGCAGAGGGGTTTCCCGTGAGAACTGAGACGAGGGCCCACCCAGATCAGAGGGGAAAGTTAACAAGTACAGAAGACAGCTGAGGAGACGGACCCATCAATTCCATGATTGTGCTGACTAAGGAGGTGTGCAGGGATGAATCAAACATGAGCTGTAGCCGAAGGGTGAGAGATGTCCTGACCATCATAAAACCTGTCCATTACACTTGTATCGTCTCTAGCTCCCCGGGATGGAACCCGCAGGTCGTGTGTCAGGTAAAGACAACCATTTTAGACACACAGGTGAATGTTGAATAATGAATTGTGGCTGAAACATGGTTTAAATTGAGCTCGGTCTCAGTTTCAATAAATAAACACTCTCATTCACGTAAATGACTTCACTAGAACCAGCTGGTTCACAACAATAACTCTTCCTGTTTGGTGCTGAGAGCAGCAAAGAATGGCAGTGAAAAACACATATTAGTGTTTTTGCGTCTGACTTCTCAAAATCTCTAAAAATCTGAAGAAAATGCACAGGGCAAAACCCGATTTTTTTTAAAAAAAAGTTACCACAATCTTAAAAGTAACAATCTCACTCAAACCATAAAAATAAACAGTTTAAACAAAATTGCTTCATAAAGAGTGTTTTAGGTGGTTGTAAAGTAGCACCTCTGAAATTTCTCACTTTTAAAGCACAGTGTGAAAAGAATTATTTGAATTTTCAAATGCTATTTTGTATCTCATAACCAAAATTTTTAAAGGTGCTGCTTGGAATTAACTAACTTTTCGATAAAATGATAGGAATAAAACATCCTTGCAGCACTTAAGTTTGTTATTTCACAAATGGAATGAACATTTTTATTCTTTGGAACTGAAAAAATTTCATTTTTTCCTAAATTATGAAGTAGATTTTCTTCAACTATGATATCAAATCAGACCTTGCAGCTTTGTAATAATTAGTCACTCTTGATGTATATAGTATTAGGGGTAAGATCAGGACCCACGTATTTTATGATGCATCATGAAGTGGACAAACAATTCTAAACAGATTTTATAATGGAAAATACATCAGAACATGACGTGGATAACATCTGACATTTACTGTACGTTATCGTGAATTGTGTCATAACCATTTGTGAGTCTACGTGTACGCATACAAATCTTGTCGTAAGCATTTGTGAATACTTTTGAGACTAATTTATCTTCATTGATAATCATTACTTGCTCACATCAAATTGTGCAGTGTTGGGTGATTCCCATCTTTACTTAATACTAAGTAAAACTATTTTAATATCCAAACAAGTTAACTCTGAAAAGTACCACCCCCCACCACCACACACACACACACACACACACACACAAACAAACTACATCTAAGGAATAAGGTAATTGGCCCAGTGTTATCAGAGGCTGGCAGGCTCAGTGGAGGTTAAGCAGCCTTTGTCTCTTGGCTTAAATACAAAGTTATAAAACGAATCCYGAGAGGACGAGTCATTATGGGACTGACTTGAATCAAGTGACTAATTTCCTGACGGATTTACCAGCCGAAGACCGAGTAAGTCACTTGTTTTATTTAAAGATCCGACTAATTTGGGAGTGAGCGAGTGAATTATTTACTGATTGAGAGCGTGCATCATTTACTGACTTGTTCGTTTACTAACAGACTGACAGATCCCGTTCCCCGAGGATGACTGACTGACTGATATGGCGAGTGATTAATTTACCAGCCGACTGACTGACAGGTGATGACAGCAACAACAGATAAACAGAAAGGGCTTGAGAAATTATTAAAGCCATACATATTTTCTGCTGATTAGTTGCTGTCAGTATACTTAGTAAAAAAATGCTTGCACACAAATGTGGATATAGACGTGCATGTGCCTCGCAGTGATCATAACAGCATCACATTTGCACCATTAGTAAGAAACTTGGAAAGAAAAAGCAAAATAAGGAAGAGGAGAAAAGACGATTTATCACAGCAGTGGTCACCCATGGGAGAAGACAGCTGATGAAAGAAAAAAAAAAAACCTGGAAAGAAATAAAGCTTTTAGCCAAACAGACATTAGCATATGTTTTTAAGTCTTTAAAYTAGCATTCCTTAAAGAATTGCATATCATCCACCACATTGCCTGTCAAACTATTAGTGCTCAGAGTATGTGTTGAGGGTGACTCTCAGCTACTACCACACTGAATTTTAGTTCAGTATCTATAAAACCAACTGATGTACCATTTTTGTGTTTGCAAGGTTATTCATGGCAGCTTTCTTGAATTGTGCTGGCTATAAATGTAAGTTAAACGAACATCCAATGATAACTCTGAGAGCTTCATTAAAATCTGWTTATTGTTTCATGAAACATTTTGCTAACAGACAGAAGTACAGTATCACTTGAATTTTATGCCATCAGGCAATCTTTTTTTTAAACTATTGCCTGGTGTTCATCTTCACATTTCCCCTCAGCAGGATCGTTGCTCATTATCTTTGTTTACTGTAGTTTTTCAGAATTGAGTCATTCTGATGATATTTGACCAACTTATTTGTTTTGATGTGAAATCTTTCTATAAGACACGTTATATTTTAAACACTTTCGTAAAAACCCCAATGTACCATAGCACAAAATTTAAATCTATATATGGACATAAATGTCAAAGGCAAAGCTGTGCTCATTTCACCCACAGATAGTTATAACACTTTTTTCTGCATCCAGATGCTCTGATATCTAGAGCCCGCGAGGGGCTTATTGATGAATTATAGATTAATATAAATGAGAGGGAGTTGCTGCACTTTTCTAAACGAGTGCAAAATTCAACTAATTTATGGTTCGATGTTTTGATGTTCCAAGACCCTGCTGAGAAGATAATCTGTTGGAATGTTGGGAAAAATAAAAAATAAACAAAATAAYGAGTCTACCTCAGGTTTTAGGTTTCTCAAAGACAACAGACTTGATGCAAAACAAGTCAGCCCATTTTAAAGTACATGTATGAATGTGAAAGCCAGAAGCCTCTGTAGGGCGTTTATTCCTGTAGGTTCACAAGCAGTGATACACTGGAAAACCAAACCAGGAAGCAAATAAAAAAATATATAATTGAAAAAAAATATTATTATATATATTACCTGTCACTAATCTGCTGCATCACTCACTTTTTAATTGCCAATGATGAAGACAAAGACAGGCAGTACTGTTTTTGCCCGTGTATGTGCGTGTTGTTTGCCTGCACCATTAGCAAACTACGTATGTCWTGGACTAATCACAAGTTTTAATGAAACTTAATGCAAAGCGGAGTCATATTCTTTCATTTTTTTCAGTGATTGCTTTGTCAACCACACCAGGAAAGCAGCTACACCAATCAACATGAAATTTGGCAGGAATGTAGATGTGTCTGACCTGCATGGTGCCAGCCAATGGTTTTACGAGGGATCCCATATTYAAGGAAGGGGCTCCATCTAAAAATGGGGTGTCTGGACATACAAAAAATGCTATAATACTATATAATACTATACTAACAATACTATATAATAATATAATACTCAATACTATTCAACATAGGAGCTTAATTTATTTTTTAGTTCTGATAAATGAGTCCCCACATCCCTGGACCCCGACCCCATCAGAAAAGRGGGTGTCTGGACATACAAAAATGCTTATAACTCAAAAACTGTTTGACACAGGAGCTTCAGACTTGTTTAGTTGTTTGTTTCTGATAAAGAAACCATTGAGCCCCCCCCAGATCCCTACCCAAGACAATAAATCTGTTCTGGTGAGTTCTGAGTTCTGGTACATTGGTGCTTTACGTAAGGGGGGTCATATATGTTACTGCTATGCAGTGTCTTTTAAAACTGTTTCACTCTGGAGTTGATCCCATTACAAATGGCTGTCTATGGAGCTAAATTGGGGTTATAAATTTTGTTCAAAAAAATAAAATTGAAACTGAAAAAAGG